CACGGGGTGTAGCAGGCATGAGAAGGTCAGGCCCAGAGAGCCCGGAAGAGAGGGGCCTAGGATGGTGTTTTCTAGTGTCTAAGAGCCCACAGTGGTTCTGGTGGGCCCTACAAGGGAGGGAAGCTTCTGGAAGGAAGGGGTCCTGGTTTTGGGTCTCAGTTCTGCCACTGGCTGCTGTGTGATCTCAGGTGACTTCTCCTCTGGGGCCCCATATCCCATTTATGAGATGGGCCACTGATGCCACCCTGGCTCTCCTTAGAGCCTGTGCCGAGGAGCGATGTAGACTGGGGGGTGGAGGGGTCCTTTCTCCTCTCCGGAAAATCAATCCCTGGAGGCTGACTCTGTGGTGTGCATCCCTGCCCTGCGGCCACAGCCCTCACTCCCCAGAAGCTTTCTCTGTGTCTAGCCTTGTTCCCTCCCACCACGGCTGGTGCTGGCCGCCATGCAGCCCTGCGTGGGCCCTTCAGGCAGCGCTCCTCTGACAGGCGACCACGGCTCAGCTCGTGGCAAACATTCTTTTCATAGTTCCGGGAGCACAGCAAATCCGGCCGCTTAGCCAGGAATGCAGAGTCCCCTCCTGCGGCGGCAGCAGGGACTTGGGCAGGGGGGAGCTCCTGGGGGTCAGGCAGGAGGGGCTGAGGGGACCCCCTTCTCCCCGCCCCCACTGTGCCTCTGCTCCAGGGGGCTGCGAGGCTGTCGTCATCATCTGTGGGCTCCCTCAGCTTAGGTGCAGACTCTGGGGCTATCCACCACTAACTGGCTGAGTGACCTGGGGAAAGTGCTCCCTGAGCCTCGGTTTCTTCATCTGTAAAATAGGGTTTAGAATACTAACCTCACAGGGCTTTGGGGAGGGGTTGTGGTGATGATAATTATAATAATAATAGCAGACATTTATCGAACGTTCCTATATGCCAAATACCACGAGAAGTTCGTTATATGAAATTAACTCATGGAATCCTTACACGTGCTCCATGAATAGGAATTGATCCCATGTCACTGATGGAGCAGCTGAGGCACAGAGGAGTGAGGTCACATGCTAGTAAGAGATAGGGCTAGGAGACGAATCCATGCAGTTGGGCTCTTAACCCATCATGATTTTTCTTTTTTTCTTTAAAAAAAATTTGTTTTAATGTTTATTTTTGAGAGAGAAAAAGAGCACAAGCAGGGGAGGGGCAGAGACAGAGAGGGAGACACAGAATCGGAAACAGGCTCCAGGCTCTGAGCTCTCAGCACAGAGCCCGACACGGGGCTCGAACTCGGGACAGTGAGATCATGACCTGAGCTGAAGTTGGACGCTTAACCGACTGAGCCACCCAGGTGCCCCACCCATCATGATTTTTCAAGCAAGACTCTCAGTCTGGGCCTTGCTTGGAAAATGGGGACTTCTTCCATGAGCCCATCTCCAGGACAGGCAGATCATTTGCCGATCAGCACCTCAGTTTGGAAAGTTAGGATGGGGATGGGGGCCTGGGACGCTGGCCAGCCTCCTTGGGAGCCCTTTGCAGAGAAGCTGGCAGGGGGCTGGGGGGGGGGGTGGTGCAGATTATCCCACCCACATCTGGCCTGGGATTTAGCTGGCGACAGGCTCCGTGCAAAGAGGAGATGTCGCCAGGGGAGGGGCTCAAGGAGGAGATTAGGAAAGGCAGCTGTGGGTGGAGGTTAAGAACAGAGTCCCATTGAAGTAGGCCCGGGCACTGCCCTGGCACACCCACCCGCCCCTGCTTCCTATTTTGTAGGACTGAGGGAGCCTTGATCAACTGGAGAAGGTTCCTGAGGCCCTTGACAGTAGCTGCCCATCCTATTCCCAGCCTTGCCTATCCCCATTGCCATCTGGGTTGAGGCAGCACAGGTGCCGTGGAGGAGAAGTGGGGAGAAAGACCCATGGCTGAGGTCTCCAGGAACCCCAACTATGTAGGGGTTTGGCCATTTGGGGTTTGGGCAAGCACCAAAGTTAAGATCTGGCCCCTGTGTTTCCCAGTCCTGTAACCTTGCAGAATGGATGTCACCCCTCTGGATCTTAGCGGTCCTCCTCAGAATGGGACAATTCCCACCTTCCAGGGTTACATGAAAATTGATAACGTAGTGCCAGGAGCATGCCTAGTGCCATGTCCAAGGCATAAAATGTACTTGGGGTTTAGAGACCATTGTCCATAAATGCTAATGTGGGAGGGGTGGGGAGCCAGCTGTAGGCTGGGCCCAGGGTCTCTGATTCTGATGTTCTCAGGCTGACACCAGCTAGCCCTTCTCATTTCCAATCATCTGTATAATGCGGATGTTAAGAGCCCCTTTGGAGACAACAGCCTCGGTTCCAATTCAGTCTCCATCCCTCATGAGCTGTGTGTCCTTGGGCCAGTTATTTAACCTCTCTGTCCCTGGTTTCCCCCTCTGTAAGAAGGGAAGGCAAAGTACCCTGCTTCGTGAAATGAGATCATCCACGACAGGAACCCAGAGCCAGGCACATAATAGGTGCACAATAAATGTTAGCTATGATCGGTTAGTTCTTTTGTTTGTTTTTTTCCATCCTCTGGATACGTTTAGGGCTTTCACACCTCCACGCCCTCACACGTGCTGTTCCCTCGGCCTGGACTTATTGCCTGTCCCCGCCACCCCCCCATTAAATGCACGTTCATCCTTCAAAGCCCAGATTTGACATAAATCACTCCTCCTCCCTGGGCCTCATGGTGGGGCTGGGGGCTGTGGCCAGAGAGGCTAGGGTTGAGTTGGGCAGTGAGGACCTCCCACTCAACCTCATCGGCTGGGCCGGGCCCTCGGAGAGTAGCCTCACGACCCACGTGAAGGGTCATGGCGTTCAGTGGCGGGGACTGAGGCAGGTCTTAGCTGAGTCAGAGGGAAGGCCTAGGAGGTGCTGGCTCTGGCATCTCGCTGCTTGTGCAGCAAGAGACGGGGCTGGGATGTCAGAGTTTCCATGGGAGCAGGCAGAGGCAAGCAAGCAGCTGGAGGAGAAAGTGACGCTGCTGCTGGCCTCCCTGCCAGGTAGGCTGGCTAGGTGTCCCCTCCCTATCCACCCCAGAGTTACAGCTGGGCCTGGACTACAGCCTCAGCTCCCTTGTGTCCAGCTGTGTGACATGAACTAGACATGATTGATGGAGGCAGAAATGGGGACCTGGCCATCCAGGGCTCTGACCACATCTCCTTCCCACTCAACAACCTTCTGTGGCTCCCCACTGCCTTCCAAAGAAATGCAAGCATGGCATTCAAGGCTCCTCACTTTGTTGCCCTGGCCTTCTCAGCTCCTACTTGTCCTCTCCAGCCCACAGCACTTCTGGACCTTCCCTGTATCTGCCAAGCAGCTTCCTAGTGCCTGAAGTTCCTTTTCTTACTCTGCCTTTCAGACTCCTACTCTCCCTTCAGGATCCAGTTCCAGAGTCCCTACCTACATGAAGCCTCTGGGGAAACTCAAGGTGGAGGCAATGTTCCCTGCTTTGTGCTCCCCCAACCCAGAGATCTTAGCCAATTGTGTGATGGTCACTTGTCTGATGCCTCCAGATAATTTAGGGCAGGGAAGTGCACGGGGCTGAGCCATTTCTGTGCCCCCAAGGCCCAGCCTCGGTTCCCCACATAGAAGGAGCTTCCTCGGGCAGGAACTGTAGCCTCTAGTAGGGGCCACCCTAGCCCAGGGCGTGGCAGAGAGTAGGGACATCTCCAACATGGATCCTGGCACACAGAGAAGCTTCCTCAGCCTGGGCCTTAGGGCAGGAGGGACTCCATCAAGCCAGGGCCAGGCACCCCATGGGCATTGCCAAGTGTGCTGGGAACAGATGAAGGAAGACAGTGATTGTGGGGCACTCATCCTGGCTCCCTGAGATGAGGGGCTGAGACTGGGGCCAATTTCCAGCAGAGGCTCCCGGTAAGAGGCCTGCGGTGGGCACTGGGTGGCTGAGCCAGGGCAGGAGGCTTCCCGGCTCCTGGCATCTTCCTCACTGTTTCTCTTTCATCCTCAGGCCTTGCCTTTGCTGGGACCTTCAGAGGCCCCTCTGACCTGAGAGGTAAGCTAGATTTGGGGGCAGGGCTCGCTGATAGCCCCAGCCGGATGAGGCCTGTGCTTGCTGCTGTCTAACTTTGCTCCCGCCTGCTGCAGCAGAAGCCCCTCCCAGGCTCAGGGTGTCCTAGCGGGCAGCCCCTCTTGCAGGTGACCTCAGCTCCCTGCGGCCTGGGCTTTTAAAACCCCAGCCCAACTCGGAAGCAGCTTTTTCTCATTTGTGAACTATTTCGCCCTGGCTCCTTGGCGCAGCCTGTGTTTGCTTGGCCTGCCCGGGTGCAGTGGCCTGGCTGTGCTCCTGCCGGGCCCCCTCCCAGCCCAGCCCGACTCCTCCTGCCGCCGCCGCTGCCGCCACCGAGCGGGGAAGCCGCGAAGGCTCAGGAATCTTGGCAGGCGTGAGGCGGCAGCGGGCGGCGGGTGGCGCTCCGGAAAAGGCTGCAAATGTGAACCAGAAGGCGAGGGATTAGCTGCCGTGAAGGCCCTGCCTGGCCCGGCCTGGGCCTTGGGCACAGCTGGGTCTGGGGGGGACATTTCCATGTTCAGTCCTGGTCAGAAGTTCAAGGCCTCTGCTGGGAAGTGAGCGATGTCACCAGCTGAGGCCTGAGCCCCTTGGCAGGGCAGGGCCAGTCTGAGGACACATACTGCCCTGAGTCCTGCCCACTGCAGGCCTCTTCTGGTTCTTCTGCCCCCAGATGGCTGTTCCTACCTCCCCGGACACGTTTTTGCCCCAAGATGCTCCTCCCCAGGGTAGTGGTGGGACTTCTCCTCTCAGAGATGGGCAGAGGCTGGAGGCCTGAGAAGTGGACCTAATCCCTGGCGGGAGGGAGAGTCAGCCCAAGCCCCCTACACCCCAGAGGTGAAAAGGATTCTGGAAGAACCACGAGCTGGAGCACCCAGGCTGCGGACTGTACTGAGCACATACTGTGTGCCAAGCCTAGTCAGGTAGGGGTGGAGGAAGAGGGACGCAGGGGTAGCTGTTTTGCCTGAGGGAGGCAGGGAAGGCTGCTCGGAGGAGGCGGCATTTGAGCTGTCTTAAATAAGGAATAACATGTTTGCTTGAAGGAGAAAGAAAGGGAATTCTGGGCGGAGAAGGCTGTGTGGCAAAGGTAGGCAGGCGGGTGGAGGAAAACACTAGGTTTGGGGTGCCTGGATGTGAGGGTGCTGGGGCCCAGGACTGGAGCGGGCTCCTCTCACTCCCAAGTGTGTTTTCCCCAACGGGGAGTCTGCAGCCCTCGTCCAGGCTACAGCAACCTGGCTGGTGAAGCCCTATTTTTATCTCCAGTCTGTGTCTTGCTCTGTCCAATTCCAGACGTGCAGTTCTCTGCCTCTGGGGTACCCCCACCCCAGAGGTCCCCTATTCTTCTTTGCCCAGATGTTCTCAGCTCTGCGCTCAGTTTGGAATGTTCCACCATTACTCCTATGGACCTTAGAGCTTTGACCTGTCTCTCCAGCCTGCTTATAGTGCTGCTTCTCAGACTGAGGTCCCTGTGGTCTGGGTGACACGCCTGCAGAGGTGAGGGATATTGGGACTCTTGGCAAATTTGAAACCTGGTAGGGGACACAAGGTGAGCAGGGGCAGTGCTCCTGTCCTGCCATCAACCTGGATGATGAGGTGGCCTCCAGGCAACGCTGCGCTGGCCTGGCTACCTCCCTTCACACCCCAAGTCCAAGATTCCACGCAGTTCTTTGGTTTTGGAGCAATCCTCATGCCTGTGCATTAAGATGTGAGGCGGTCAGAGTCTCCTATTGATCTGCAAGGACAGAGAGCTCAGCTTATGGGGCACTGTCTCCACAAGTCTCCATCTGGGGAGGTCAGACACACACCTGATGTTAGCATGAGCATTAAGGCCATAAATGCTGGCCTTTCAGAGGGTCCCATCAAGTGACTGACAGCTAGAGATTATATTATAGAGGCTGGAACTCAGACAGGGATTGAAGTACAAGGACATAGGAGAGGAGAGAGACAAATGGGGTCACAGAGACAGGCAAAAATAGGACAGTGACACAGAGGTGGGGTGAGAGAGACACCTGGAAGATGCCTGAGATGGACAGGCGGGTGAGAATCTGGGTTCAGTGACACCGAGACACGGAGGAAGGGACACAGGTGGGCATGGCACACACCCACATGGCTCCCACAGTCAGACTGTCCGGGCCTCCTCCTCCGTCGGACTCTCAGAGTGGGCGCCACCGTTGTGATCTTGGGGTTTTGCCAGGCTCACCATCAATCTCTGCCCTCTCCACCTCCTCCATCTAAATTGGTCCACATCCTGCTGGGTCTGAAGTAGGCCTCCTTGTCCAGGAAGCCACATGAATTGCGGAATAACATGGAATTTATGAAGTTGGTACTAGGGAGCCACTGGAGAATCTAGAGCAGGGGAGGGCCATGGGCAGAGCCATGCCAAAGTGTGGTCCACACACGGTCAGCATCACCTCACCTGGGAGCTGGTTAGAAATGCAGACGGTGGGTCCTATTCCACACCTACTGAATCAGGATCCCTTGGGGGGGGGGGGCCCGGAACCTGTGTTTTAACAAACCATCTGATGCACACTAAAGTTCAAGAAGTGCTGTTGGAGTATCTGTGGGAAAACAGAGAAGCTGAGAGTGAGTGTGGGAGAGAGGCTGCTATGATAATGCAGGCGAGGATCTGGCAACTTTATATAACAAACCTTTACTAAATGGTTGGAATGTGTCGGGGCTGTGTGTTGGGAGAGTACAGGGTCTGTGTTAGGACACAGATTATGGGGAATAAGGGAAAGGAATAGAAGTGAGAGAAATAGAGGAGGCAGTCTACAGGATTGGACTGGGGGTGTAAGGGTAAAGGCAATGTACAGTTGTGCATGTTGGTTACTATACAAGAGTACCCAGGAAAGGCAATGAGAGCATCTGGGTCTGCTGGAAGTAGGGCTAGCCTTTTCTTTTTTTTTTTTTTCAACGTTTATTTATTTTTGGGACAGAGAGAGACAGAGCATGAACGGGCGAGGGGCAGAGAGAGAGGGAGACACAGCATCGGAAACAGGCTCCAGGCTCCGAGCCATCAGCCCAGAGCCCGACGCGGGGCTCGAACTCACGGACCGCGAGATCGTGCCCTGGCTGAAGTCGGACGCTCAACCGACTGCGCCACCCAGGCGCCCCGGGGCTAGCCTTTTCTAATTGTGCAAAGGCATTGTGCAGGCTAGATTCCTCACTGCCCTGTAAAGAAGGAAGGATCAGAAGTGGTGTCCAGATATCTGGCCTGGGCCTGTGGGAGAGGCAAGGATGTCAGTAATGGGGAGAATATAATGGCAGCAGTTTGGGTGCAGGTATCTGAGGGCCAGCCAGGTGAAAAGGCTCAGCTCAGAGTTGAACACAAGAGTCAGGCTCAAAGTGAGGTTGTAGCTGGAGGCCGATGTGGGAGCCCTCCGTGATGGGACTGGGGCTGTGGGGCTGGCGAGAGCTGGAAACTGCAGGAGAAACATCCAGAGACAAGACGTGAGGCCTGAGCCAGCTCCTTGAGGCAAGCCTGGGTCTGCAGAGTGGGCAGGGGAAGGAAGCTGAGAAGAATCTGAGGAGGAGCCTTTCCAGGAGGGAGGAGAGTTGGGGCCACAGGCAGGATTTGGTGCTGGGGGGAGGAGGCACCAGGCGAGGGGTGGGAGCAGCACGCAGGGGTGAGGGGTAGAGATGGTCCTTTCAAGGAGCTTAGCTGAGAAGGCTGGGGAGAGGTGAGGGTGTCTGGGGCGGGGGTGGGGGGGGGGCAGTTAGGCCTGTGTGGACAGGTGAGGGAGAGGCTGGAGATGGGGTGGGGGTGGGGGGCAGACCCAGACAGAGGCCCCGGGGAAGGGGTATGGAGGTGGCTGGGCCTTGAGTAGGTAGCACCCCTTTCATGTGAGACGCAGGAAAGGAGGACTGGAAAGAGCTCCCCAGTTCCCACCCGCTGGGAAAGAGGCAGGGGGCAGAGGGGCCAGGGAGGGAGCCCTGGCTGAGTCCGGAGCTGCCTGGCTGGGTGGGGGTGGGGCGGGCATCATGCCCAGTGGGTGAGGGGGGCAGCCCCTCTGCTCCCGTCTGAGATCCATGACTCCATCCCAGCCATGAGCAGGCTGTGGGACTCCTGGTCAGTCTCCTCTCCGGAGCGGTCAGGGAAAAGGCCTGGGAGGCCAGAAAATTGACTTTGGAACTTTCACAAGGTCCTGGCCTTTGGCAGCAAGCCACCTGAGTTTTTTAAGGGTTGGAGGAGATGTTGCTTTGCAGCAAGAGAAACTGAGGTTAGACTGAAGGGAGAACTTCCTGGCCATCAGGGCAGCAGGACAGAACAGCACACCTGGAGGGGCCAGTGACTCAGATCGCCTCAGTTAATCCTTTCACATGTGAGGACACTGAGGCTCAGAGAGATTAAGTCACTTGCTCAAGATCACACATCTCATAAGTGGCTGTGCTGGAATGGGAGTCCAGGGGCTGCCACAACCTAGGAGAGCTTTAGGGGTCCCCAGGGCTGGACCCCTGAGAGAGAGAGCCTGAGCAAGAAACGCTGCTCACCTGTTGAGGTGGCAGAGACAGGGCTGGAGAGAGAGACAGAGGGAAATGAGTCCGGGCCAGAGACCCAGGGAGAGAGCAGAGAGGGAGGCTGGGTGAGTGGGGAGACAGGAGGTACTAGGGGAGCGAGCGGGGCAGCCGGATCCCGCAGAAATGTCTCCACAACAGGAAGCGTCTCATAACATACCTGTGGTTTGGCCAGGCCCCGGGGCTGCCTGAGCGCTCCCCGAGCCCCCCCCCCCCCCCCCCGCCCCACTGCAGCCCGTCTGGGGTGGGGGGCTTGGAGCGTAGGAGCCTGTGCAGGGCTGAGCTCCATCCACCCCCAACCCTGGGAGGGGGGCTGCCAGGGCCACACTAGCCCCACCCCTGCATGGTCCATTAGGAGCCTTCTCCCTCAGCCCCCCTTTTTATCTGAACCTCTGGTAGCTCATCTGTGAAGTGGGATGGGGAGTGCACAGGCCTTTACATTACGTAGGATCGCCCGGGTCCCCTCTGCTGGTCACCCCTGGGACCAGACCCTCTGAGAGAGGGGACTGGTGGGGAGGGGTCACTGTTAGCTGAGGTCTCTTCCCTTCCTGCAGCATGTCCAGGAGAGAGGGGTCTATATTTGTGCCACTTCTTCCTGCCGGCACCCAGTCCTTCCCCCCCAACCCCGCATTGGTCTGAAAGACCCTGGAGCACTTTGCACCCCCAGCCAGCTTCCTTGGCCGCCCCGGGAGGAGGCCCAGGCTGCCACAAAACGCTGACTTGGACAAAACGCCGTTTTACGGGGATTTGTTGAAAAGGGGGAAATCCCCGCTAAGGACTTGCAGCTGTCCAAACACCGCGTCTACCCTGCTGCCGCCACCACTCAATCCCCTGAATCAGCGTCTCCTTATGCACCCCACCTCCCGCCCCTGCCAGCCCAGCCTCTTCCCATCTGCCCTGATTCCTGTGTTCCCCCAGAGAGGGTGATGGCTTGCCCAAGGTCACACAGCAGAGCCGGCCTTGAGCCTCAGGGCCCTCCCCTGAACCCCGACACTCCTAGCGAATGAATCGTTCTTTTCTCTGCACCTCTGTTCCCTGTGCAGGCTGTTCTTAGCTGAAGTCCTTTGGGACAATGTGAGTGTTCCCACTTCTTCCCAATCTAGCCTACCTGCACCCCTCTGGCCTGGGGAGGGGGCTCCCAGGGCAGTGTGACAGGTACAAAGTCTGAGGAAAGGACTGAGTGAGTTATTGGCACAGTCTTTAAACTTGATGGTGAGTTGAGGTCATCCAACTTTTATGGAGTGTCCCTGTGTACCGGCCAAGTCCGGTGCTGGGCATGGAGTGGGGAGAATGTGGTGGGGACAGAGAGTGAAAAGGCCAGAGAGGAACACAGAGCTGGGACCAGGGCAGGCATCCGATAGGCTCCCTGGATGTCCAAGGATAAGTAAAAATCTGGAGACTTGAGTGTTCAGAAGCCACAGAGCTTCAGGGAGCCTGTGGAGTGGGAGGGGGGCGAGGGGCAAGAAAGGGGTGCCAGTGGAAAGGAGGCAGGGGGCTTGGAGGCACCCAGGCACCCCTGGGTCTGATGGTGGCTGGGATGGGGGCAGTCTGTCCCACGAGGCTGCTGCAATGTGCCACTCCAGGGGCATCATTTCTCTCTGCAGCCCTGAGAACAGGCTCAGCACACCCCTTCTCCAGGTCATGGGCTTGCTTCCACTCCCCGGCCCCCACTGGACTGGCAGAAGCCAGCCTCCCCTCCAGGAGCTGGAGTGATGTTCTCTCCCCAAACCCACAGGCAGTCTGGAGCCTCTCTGTCTGCCTGTCTAGGGGCTGCCCTCTCCTGTCTGCCTCCCCCTGCTGGTTCTCACAGACCTCTGCTCAAATCCTCAGGCTCCCTATCTCCAGAAAGAAGAGTGGGGGGGAGCGGGGGGGGGGGGCTCTTCCTTCCCAGGGGCCTTGTGGGAATGAAAACATTTATTTATTTATTTGTAAATGTTTATTTATTAAGGGGCCAGCCGCGGGGGGGGGGGGGGGGTGGCAGGGGAGCAGCAGAGAGAAAGGAAGAGAGAATCCCAAGCAGGCTCCGTGTTGTCAGTGAAGAGCATGACACAGGGCTCGATCCCACAAACCCTGATCATGACCTGAGCCAAAATCAAGTAGGATGCTTAACAGACTGAGCCCCCCAGGCGCCCCCCGGGGAATGAAATCATTCATTGAACAAAGCACTAGGCTGGAGGTCTGCTTGCAGTGAGCTGTCATCCTCACTCAGCCCCGGCTCACTCTAGAGGAGACATCAGCTCTGGGGTCCTGCAGCAGACCTATCACCCTCAGTGGAGGGGGCACAGTGCAGGAGGTGCTGGGACAGGGCGAGTTTAGGAAGCCACAGGGTGTGAGGCGGGGACACTTCCCAGAGATCCGCATTGCCAAGGAGGTTGTAAGATGGGGAGCTGGCTGGGGGGTCCTGCCTGGGCTCCTGGCTGGACTTGGGACTTTTGCCTCGGTGTCCTGCCTGCCTGTGCTCCCGCACAGTCCTTTGCCTTAAGCATCTTTCCAGCTAAACCCGAGGCTTGCCTCACCCTCCATCACCCTCTACCCCAGTGAGGCCTCAGCTCAGCATGGGAAGAGGGTGAGGTCTCCCCAAACCAGGGCTGTGCTGATTCCTCCTGTGACAGTGCCATGACCGTGGCCTCTGGCCTACCAGGCCAGAACGGCCCCCTTGCCTCCCCCTGCTTCTTGTTACAAGCTCTGCCCCCTCTGCCTGCTCCCTCACACCTCTGCCCACCCACCAGGCGATCATTCTGGCTGTGTGAATGGGTGAGCACCCCCACTCCAGAGCCCCTGCCCGGTGCAAGTGGCCTGTGCAGGAGGGCCCTTATCCCGTGCCAGAGAGGTGGGACAATACGGTGGTTAGGGGCTGGGGCTCCAGGTTTAGGTTCGGACCGCACGTGCTTCCTCATGTGGAAAACAGGACCAGCAAGCCTCTCAGGGCTGAAACGTTAGGGCAGTGCCAGCCAGAGCCTCCATCAGCGGGACTTACCTGAGGGCCGGGCCCAGAGGCTGCAGCCTCAGTCCTGGCATCAATCGTGGTGCAGACAGAACAGGCGGCCTGTGTGGAGGGCTGTATCCTGGGCAGGATTCTTCTAGTCCAAGCTTCTGTTTCTACATCTATAAAATGGGGATAATAACTGTATGAGCCCCAGGGGTCACTGAGAGGATCCTGTGAGACGGAGCCTGCAGAGCTCTGGGCTGGGGAGCCCCACAGGTGGTGGACGTTACTGTTACTGTTCTGGGGCTCAGGGGAGCTTGAGGGACCTACGGGCCCAATGTTACAAAAACGGTTGATGGCAGAGCTGGGTTGGCAGCTTCACCGGCCTTCTCCTGAGCTCTGCATCCATTCCTGTGAAGCTCTGTGTGATACTGAGCACCTCTAGACTCAGCCCAGCACCAGGGAGGGCTCTGCTCCCCACACGCATCCTGGATGTACATAACCCACCCCCAAACACCTCGTGCACTCAGGCACATGTGTGGAGAGGCCCCTGGGGGTGAGAGGAGCCCAGAGCAGGGAGGCAGGGGAGGGACTTGCCTCGCATGTGCAAAATGCTGGGTAGTCTCTCCTTCCAACATTGATGGGTGCCCACTGAGAGGCAGGTACAGTATCGCCTCTCATCACGGCAGCCCTGAGAAGCGGGTTGTTAGTCCAGCGTTTTAAAATAACGTCTTTGGCATGCCTGGGTGGTACAGTTGGTTGAGCGTACAACCCTTGATTTTGGCTCAGGTCATGATCACGGGGTCGTGGGATCAAGCCTCACGTGGGGCTCCACGCTGAGCATGAAACCTACTTGAGATTCTCTCTCTCTTCCTCTGCCCCTCTCCCCGCTGCTCATGCGCATGCTGTCTCTAAAATAATAAAATAAAAATAACATCTTTATTGAGATACAATTCACACATCGTAACAGTTGGCCCATTTAAAGTGTCCCATTCAATGGTTTTTTTTAAACGTATTTGCCGTTGGCAGCCTTTACCACAGTCAATTTTAGAATGCTCTCATCATCCCTACCGGAAACCCTGTACCCATCATTGTGGTCACTCCCTTTCCCCCTTCCAGCAGCCCTCAGCAACTACTAGCCCACTTTCGTCTCTTTACATTTACCTATTCTGGGCACGTCATATAAATGGAATCATACACAATTTGTGACTGGCTTCCTCACTTAGCATGATGTTGTCAGGGTTTTCCTGTAATGTGACACGTAGCAGTATTTTACTTTTATTGCTGAATAATACTCCGTCGTATGGTCATGCCATCATCTGTCCAGTGCACATCTGTGCTATTTCTACTTTGTGGCTGTTATGAATAATGTCGCCATGAACATTTGGGTATGTGTTTTTGTGTGGACATCTTGTCCATGAGGAAAGTGAGGTTCACAGAGTGGAAACTCTAGCTGGCAAGTGGAAAACGCAGGCTGGGTGTCCACATCTTGTTGGACAGGCCTTGTTCTCAGAGCTGAGCTAAGTGCTGTGACAGGGCTAGGTCAGGACGCAAAGGAGTGAGGGGTTAACTTTATAGAAGAAGGGGTGACAGCTTCCCAAAGGCCTTAAAGGATGAGTAGGAAATTGAAAGAACATCGCAGGTGGAGAATCAGCAGGGGCAAAGGCCCAGAAGTGCGAGGCTGCCTCATGTCTGGGGCAAAGGTATGGTGGAGAGGAGGAGGAGAGACAGGGGTGGTAGGTGATAGGGTCAGAGCCACAGGCACAGACTGGATTTAAAAAGGTCTTGAATGCCATGCCAGACACCACAGAGGATCCTGAAGGCAGAGGGGAGCCCCAGAAGGGCACCATCAACATAATGTGAAGTCAGACAGACCTTAGTCAGCCCCCAGTTCTGCTGACCTTTGCTTTAGTTTTGTCATCTGGAAAATGGGGATGACAATAATAATAACTTGTTAAAGTATTGAGAGCATTAAGTGAGTTCCTGTCTCTGGAGCACTCAGCCCAGTACCTGGCAGAAAGCCAGCCCAGCACATGGTAGTGGGTGTTATCAATTTTTAGCAGGGGTGTGCCGCGATCAGATGGGTGCTCTGGAAGGTGTACATTCTGATCTTTTTGTGAGCCCCTGGGTCTGGTGCTAAGCCACCCGGGGGCTGGCTCGATGGCCCGTCTCGGTTCTTCACTGCAGCACGCCCGCGGACGCCATGCGGGGGGCTCTGACGCCCCTATCTTCGCTGCTGCCACTGCTGTCGCTGCTGCTGCTGGGGTGCGGACCGCGGGCGGCCACCGGAGGCGGGGCCGGCGGGGCAGCGGGCTACGCGCCGGTGAAGTACGTGCAGCCCATGCACAAAGGACCCGTGGGGCCGCCCTTCCGCGAGGGCAAGGGCCAGTACCTGGGTGAGCGCCTCCCCGCCCCGCAGGGCCTCAGACAGCTCCTGACCCCCACCGGCTCCTCCCTGGCCCTCAGCCACAGCCCCTCCGTCTCCAGCAGAGACCGTCTCCACTTCCCTTTTCTTCCCGACGCCGGTCTGGGGATTCGGCCCTCCGAGGGGCCGGAAGTGGGCGGCTGGCAGAGGTGATCTTCAGGCGGGGTGGGGAGGAGGAGGGACGGAAGTAGGGGCGCCCCGCTGCAACTGGTTCTAAGGAGGGCTGCTGGCGCCACCTGGCGGCCATTTCTCCCCCTCCAGGTCTTGCGGGGATGAGAGTCACCCAAGTTTTTGGGAAGGATCAAGACCTGGGTAGGTTGGGTGCTAGGAGCCCCCAAGATGGCCACTGGACCATCCCTAAACTCCATCATCCATGTACACACGAAGGGGAGACGGGGTGTGGCCTTTATGAGCAGATGTAGTGTACCCCATGGGGGAGTGGGTAGAAGGGTCCAACCGTCTCCACTGGCCAGGCCCCTGACTGCCCCTTCTCTCTCTCTCCCTCAGAAATGCCTCTACCGTTGCTGCCAATGGACCTGAAAGGCGAGCCTGGTCCGCCTGGGAAGCCTGGGCCTCGGGGGCCCCCTGGCCCTCCTGGCTTCCCAGGAAAACCAGGCACTGGAAAGCCAGGGCTACATGGACAGCCTGGCCCTGCTGGGCCCCCTGGCTTCTCCCGGATGGGCAAGGCTGGTCCCCCGGGGCTCCCGGGCAAGGCCGGACCACCAGGGCAGCCAGGGCTTCGGGGAGAGCCGGGGATACGAGGGGACCAGGGCCTCCGGGGCCCCCCAGGACCGCCTGGCCTCCCTGGACCCTCAGGCATTGCTGTCCCTGGGAAGCCAGGCCCCCAAGGAGTGCCAGGGCCCCCAGGATTCGGAGGGGAGCCAGGGCCCCAGGGGGAGCCTGGGCCCCCAGGTGATCGAGGCCTCAAGGGGGATAATGGAGTAGGCCAGCCAGGGCTACCTGGGGCCCCAGGGCAGGGAGGTGCCCCTGGACCACCTGGCCTCCCTGGTCCAGCTGGCTTGGGCAAACCGGGTTTGGATGGGCTTCCTGGGGCCCCAGGAGATAAGGGTGAGTCGGGGCCTCCTGGAGTGCCAGGACCCAGGGGGGAGCCAGGGCCTCTGGGCCCAAAAGGGCCCCCAGGTGTGGATGGTGTGGGGATACCAGGGGCGGCAGGGGTACCAGGGCCACAGGGCCCAGCAGGGGCCAAAGGGGAACCAGGAACCCGGGGCCCCCCTGGCCTAATAGGCCCCACTGGCTATGGGGTGCCAGGACTGCCAGGCCCTAAGGGGGACAGGGGCCCAGCTGGGGTCCCAGGACTCTTGGGGGATAGGGGGGAGCCAGGTGAGGATGGGGAGCCAGGGGAGCAGGGCCCACAAGGCCTTGGGGGCCCCCCAGGACTTCCAGGGTCTGCAGGGCTCCCTGGCAGACGTGGGCCCCCTGGGCCCAAGGGGGAGGCAGGGCCTGGAGGACCCCCAGGAGTGCCTGGTATTCGGGGTGACCAGGGGCCTAGTGGCCTGGCTGGGAAACCTGGGCTCCCAGGAGAGAGAGGACTTCCTGGGGCCCATGGACCCCCTGGACCTACTGGGCCCAAAGGTGAGCCTGGTTTCACAGGCCGCCCTGGGGGACCAGGGGTGGCAGGAGCCCTGGGGCAGAAGGGTGACTTGGGGCTTCCTGGGCAGCCCGGCCTGAGGGGCCCCTCAGGAATCCCAGGTCTCCAGGGCCCAGCAGGTCCTATTGGGCCCCAGGGACTGCCAGGCCTGAAGGGTGAACCGGGCTTGCCAGGACCCCCTGGAGAGGGGAAAGTGGGGGAACCCGGAGTGGCTGGGCCTACAGGGCCTCCTGGGGTCCCCGGTTCCCCAGGACTCACTGGCCCTCCTGGGCCTCCCGGGCCACCTGGTCCCCCTGGAGCCCCCGGGGCCTTTGATGAGACTGGCATCGCCGGCCTGCACCTGCCCAATGGTGGAGTGGAGGGCGCTGTGCTGGGCAAGGGGGGCAAGCCACAGTTTGGGCTGGGCGAGCTGTCGGCCCACACAACGCCTGCCTTCACCGCTGTGCTCACTTCGCCCTTTCCCGCCTCCGGCATGCCTGTTAAATTTGACCGGACTCTCTACAATGGCCACAGTGGCTACAACCCAGCCACTGGCATCTTCACCTGCCCTGTGGGCGGGGTCTACTACTTTGCTTACCACGTGCATGTCAAGGGCACCAATGTGTGGGTGGCCCTGTACAAGAACAACGTGCCAGCAACATACACCTACGATGAATACAAGAAGGGCTACCTGGACCAGGCATCTGGCGGGGCTGTGCTCCAGCTGCGGCCCAACGACCAGGTCTGGGTGCAGATGCCGTCGGACCAGGCCAACGGCCTCTACTCCACTGAGTATATCCACTCCTCCTTTTCAGGGTTCTTGCTCTGCCCCACATAACACCACGGGGGCCTTGCCGCCTTGGCCTCCTCCTCTTTAGTGGTAGAGAGACCTTCTCCGTTACAAGAACCTCCATTTAAAGAAAAAAACCAAAGGCTGAACAGACGCGGAAACAGAGGCGGCCGTGGCCTTGGCCTTGGCCCAAGGAGATGGATTCGGTTTCTCCCTCCATGCAGGCTGAGGTGGTTCCTGGAAGAGGCTGGCCTGGGTTCCTCTCCCCCAAGTGTCTGTGCAGTGCTGGGGTTGCACCCCCATTGCAGGCAGGGCCCCAGGCCGCTCAGCCTGGCTGTCGGAGACCCCTGCCTCGTTGGGAGTCATGGGCTCTGCTGGGCGGTGAAGGATGCTGCTTCTCAGAGTCGGAGCTGAGAGGGGCCCGTGCCCCCCCATGCCATTTTCCCAGGGAGACATGGGCCCAAGCCCTGCCCTTCCTGCTGGCCTCTGGATGGCACCTGCTTAAGGAATGAGGCATGGCCACCCTCGGATCTTGGCTGGGGCTCTTCCAGCTCTCCCGGGACCTCCAGCAGATGACGGTGGGTCCCCTGAAGAATTTTTGCTTTCGGGGGAAAGCAAAGGGTGGGGGGCATTGAGGTGGCCAGTGTGGACACCCTGCCAGTGCTGCAATCCCAGGGTGATGCTGTGGCATCAGGCCTGTCCAGGGTGTGTGGCCCCTCCTGCAGGCTCCTGGGAATGGCCAGGCCCCTTTCTGCTCCAGCTGCCGCCACAGGAGCAGTGGTTTGTGACAGGAGGGGCACGGACCTGGGGCAGGATGGCAGCCCTTCACGTTCATCTCCAACTCCCAGCCTGCTCCCACCAACTGGCTCTGCTCAGTGTAAGGGCAGCTGCACAGGCCCTTAGGGACTGCCGCAGCAGGCACGAGGCAGGAGCGACCGTCAGTGAACACGAGTGTCCTCCCTTTCTCTCCTTTCACCTGCTGGCAGAGGGCTGATGTTTTCATACAAAACTGTAAGGTGTCCTTGCCACACTCAGCCTGAGTGTCCCCAAGGCAGAGAGCCTCTTTTTTGGCCCTCAGAACAAGGTACACACAAGCTTTGGGATGAAGAAGGCTCCCGCCTGCTTCTCCTTAACAAGAACCATGTGGAGGGTATGTGTGTCTACCAGAGGGGTTAATCTGAGGGGGCTTCCTCTCCTTCTACCCTCTGGTTCCAATTTCCTGTTCTAAGCAGGATTAGGGCCCAGAAGGCTGAGGCTCTGAGAAAAAGGGTGCCAATAGGCCCCTTTGGGATGAGTTGACTCTGGATGTTTCTGCCATTTTCCCCAAGCAGAGCCCCCACCTGTAGGAAATAGGCAGGATTCCTGCCCCTCCCATCCCCTAGTTCAAGCTCAGTAGATAAAGCAGAGATTAGTGCTGGGACAAAGCTGGCCACTTTCCCCGGTGGCTCCAGGCCTGTCCATTCAGCTCTCCCCAGGACAGCCCATTTGTCTGTACCAAGTGTGAACCTGGGTCACCCAGTGTGGTCTCACACTGCTCCAGTACTGGCCAACGCCAGACTGTCCATGCTGAAAATGGGAGGGTGGTGGCTGACTTCTGGCTCACTGAGCTGCGGTGCCCTGGGCCCCTCGCCAGGCCTCCCTCCGCGACCCACTTCTCCCAACAAAGTAGGCCATTTGACTGCTTGCTTTGTCTTTCAAAAGAAGGGAAACCCAAAGCTGCCAAGTGACACTTTAATAGGTTTTGGCTGGGGTTTGTGGTGGATTTCTTGATCCCCGATACCCCAGAGAAGGAAGGAGTCTCAAAACAAGCTTGGTGGGGTCCCTTGCTCAGCCTCCTTCCTGAGCCGAAGCCACCACCATCTGACCAGTCAGGGAGGGGTTCTGATAGGCAGAAATTCATCAGCTCTCGGGGGTGGGGTGGGGGGCATTGCTCAGGGCCTAAGGAGGGCACTGGGGGAGCCAGAAAAAGCTATTTCATAGAGCTGAGCTTCTGCTAAATGTCATTCTTGAAGCTTTTGGGGAGGGGTGGCTGATGTTTCTGAAATGTCTATGGGACTTTAATTCCAGGTGTCCACTTAACTGACCAGCTTTGATAAACAATGCCAAGTTTTAACTATGAAAACTACAGTACCTTGGTGCATTTTTATATTCTGATTTCTAGGGTTTGTGTTTTTTTTTTTTTTTTTTTGGTTGTTTTTTTTTTTTTTTTAAGATTAAGGTTTAAATGTTTTCATTAGTGATTTCATTTCTAACTTGGTATATGAAGCTTAGTTCTCTACATACTTATTATGTGCCCTGTGTCACAGATTTGGGAAAAACGCACTTGGGAATCAAAAAAAAAACAAAAAAAAAAAAAAAACAAAAAAAAACCAAACAAACCATAGGACTTCTTTTTGAAAAGAAAAACAGCAGTATTGACTGTATTGACACACCTCAATAAAACCTGTTGTATAAAACAGTGCTGTGCAGGAACTGGCATTGATGTGGAGGCATCTCAAGCCTCTGGATTTCATAAGGCATCCAGGGAACTCTCTGGGGCTCTCGTTCTATGCCTTCTCTCAAGGAGCATGCATTGCTCCCCAGGCCCCCAGCCACGGGTTCTGTCACCACATCACAAATGCTGGATGCTCCTAAACTGCCTAAGGCTCTGCACCAAGTAAATGCCAAGAGGCATTTTAAGCAACCAAAGCAAGGCAGTGATTGGGGTTGGAGCTGGGGGAGATGGTTTGAGCTTCCCTGGAACATTCCTGCAAGCTCTTAGGGGTGGGGGAGCATGAGAGCTGGCTCAGAATCCCAAGGACCAAGTTTCAACATTTGATACAAATTATGAATGAAATTATGAACCTTTGATCCTGAGGGTGGGGCCAGTGCCAGGCCCGCTGCTGAAGGCACGACTGGAGGTGCTGTCCTGGACTGAAAGCACCTGCCCGCAGCTTCCCATGCTGAGCACTAGGCATCGGTCCCTGGCTCTAGGGATGGGGCAGCAAACCTGGAACAATCCAAGTCCTGGGAAGTCCTGTGGTTTGCCCCTGCCTGGCAGGACACAATCTTGGCTGAAAGCAGACCTGCCCATCAGTCCTCAAACCTCAGGTTAGCTGCAAAGCTGGGCATGCTTCTCTCTCCCCTGAGGCTAGGATAATCTGAAAATATCCCAGAAGTTTGAGGGGAGAGGTCTTCTCCCTTTTAAAATTTTCCTTTCCTCAAAATGGTATACAGAACCATCTTTCAAGCCAAGGCCTTTGACGGGGGCCCAAGATAACAGAATGAGGCACACAGCCTTCAGTCCACGCAGGGCACAGGCACGATGTACCCTCCTCACCCCATGGTTGGCAATCCGGTGAGAGAGACTGCCCTCTGCATCCTCCTACAGGGGTCCTGTTCTTGGGTCCTACTTGGGAAGCAACCTATGAAGAAGTCAGGCTTTGAAACCAGGGACATCTGGCTTGTCTCGCCCACTGCCTGGGCCACTTTGACTGACCAAAGGACAAAATCATGCTCACTTTGCCCTTCCTGGATGAACCAGCTGTGCAGACAATTGGAAGAACTGGAGGAATCTGCCTGACATCTCGGCAGCCTTGTGTTCCTAGCTCCTGGCAGAGCCGATAAAGAGGCACCAGGCTTGAGAAGGTCAAGGGTGGGGTGAAGTGGACAGAATCCAGGGCACAGGAGAGATTTAGGAACCAGTGGTAGGATTTACCAACAATTTTATTGCTGGGAGTTCTGCTAAGAGCTGTTAATAAGCTCCATGACAGTCAAGGGCCAGGTATGTATCTAGATCAGCTAGATGCAAGTGCTGGTTTCCCTGATCCATGTAAACTTACTGCCCAGGGGCTCTGTCCAAAGACATGCTCTCTGGCAAACTGGCTAAATCCCAACAAGGGGAAATGACGCTACTGCTGATCACTTCTGCCCCCCACCCAACCCCATGTGTTAGATAATAAAGGAAAATGCCACAAATGCACTTCCAAGATCAAAGCTGTCCAGATCCCTCCCGTGTGCCCGAGGAGCCGGGCTTGCCCAACGCTCTGCAGTGAGCTGGAAACCGAGCATCATGGAGGCACCAGCCCTCCACACTCACTGTCCAATGACCTCCCCCAGAGACCCCGCCCCAGAGGTATGCTCCACCCACACTGCAGGATGACAGAGGCAGCGACCTATGCTGCAGTAAGCCTCTGGGTTTCCAATCTGAGCTGTAGTTGGTCCTGCTGGACACAGTGGAGCCCCAGCAGCTGTGGCCCTCACAGACTCTTCTGGAAGAGCCGGTGCAGGCTCTGGGCCAGGACGTCTGTCTCCTCGTAGCCCTCACAGCTTTGCTGCCAGCTCTCTGGCACCTGTTCCATCCCATAGTAGGCACCAGCAATGGCCCCGGCCATGGTGGCAATGGTGTCTGTGTCCCCCCCCAGTGAGATGGAGTAGATAAGAGTCCTTTGGAGACTGTTGAAGGCAGAGGGAATCTCAGGGTCAGGCTCCATGCAGCGCAGGAAGCAGTAGATGGCGGTGGGCACAGATTCAAAGGCAGCAATGCCATTCCCTGTAGGGAAGCCAACGTATGGGGACACAGCACTCACCCACTCTCTATGTCCCCAGACTTCTTCTGGCCACTCACCCCAAGCCAATACTCTCAGCTTCAAGCTGGGCCATAATTCAGACCACGGGTTCTAGAATTAGACTACCCAGGTTCAAATCCTGGCTCTCTCTCCTATTAGCCATGGGATCAGAAAAGTTCCTTAATGGCTAAGATTCCTGTTTTTGGGATTCGACATCTCGGGCAGAGAGGGAATGAAGTCAGAGACTTTCACAGGGCTAGTGTGGGGGTGAAATGGGCCACAGGTAAAGTCTTCTGCGAGGTGCCCAGAACACAGGACAAGTGCCGTGTAAATAAGCATCAGTTATCAACACCAACTGTCCAGACCAGCAGCCACCTGCCATTTTGGGGACATTTATCTGTAAGGCTGAAGGTGCTACAGCCCTAGAGGAGCCATAGAGCAAGAAGGTGCTGTGCTTACAACCCTGCACAGGGACTGCACAGAGCTGGCTCTGCTGTCACAGCAGCCCCAGGCAAAAACACAAAAGCAGGCATGCCTCCAGGTTCCCGTCCTGTCCCCATGCCCAGGCCTAGCCCAGAGGGTGACGGCTGTGTGTGTGTGTGGGGGGGGGGGGGGGGGTCTACCCACCTAGCTCAGACACCACCTCCTCTCTGGTCACGGAGTCCTGCTCTAGAAGGGCTCCAATCTTCTTCAGTCGGCTGGAGTAGGGACGCTCCTCCATGCCCAACCTGTGGGTCAGGGGTGAGATTTCAGGGAGGCCGGAGCCAGCACGGTAGAGATGGAAGGCAGGGGAAGGGGTGTGGGAGGGCAAGGCGGGAGTGATCAGGCTGACACCCAACACAGACATCCTGACAAGAAGTGGGAGAGGGCTAGAAGTGAGTTGCTTTTTTAATTCCCTGGTACCCTAAGGGCCTCAAAGCAGAGTCAAGGCAAATGGGCTCTTCCTCCTAAGAGTCTGCAATTCAAGAAGGGAGGTTTCAGGGGCACCTGGGTTAAGCATCCTTTTTTTTTTTTTTTTTATGTTTATTTAGAAAGACTGAGAGAGAGAAGGTGGAGGAAGGGCAGAGAGAGAGAGAGAGGATCAAAGTGGGCTCTGCACTGACAGCAGTGAGCTCAATGTGGGGCTCAAACTCATGAACCTTAAGGTTATGACCTGAGCTGAAGTGGGATGCTTAACTGAACCACCCAGTGCCCCCCCCTTTTTTTTTAATATGTGAGTTTTTTTTTTTTTTCTCAATGTTTATTTATTTTTAGAGAGAGAGAGAGAGAGCAAGAGAGCATGAGCAGGGAGGGGCAGAGACAGAGGGAGAGAGAATCCCAAGCAGGCCCCACGATATCAGCACAGAGCCCAACGTGGGGCTCAATCTCAAAAACCGTGAGGTCAGGACCTGAGCCAAAATTAAGAGTTGGATGCTTAATAGACTGAGACACCCAGGCGCCCCAGCACCTAACTCTTAACTTTGGCTCAGGTCATGATCTCACGATTCATGAGATCAAGCCCTGTGTTGGGCTCTGCACTGACAGCTCAGAACCTTCTTGGGATTCTCTCTCTCTCCCTTTCTCTTCTGCTCACACACACGAGTGCACTCTCTCTCAAAATAAATAAATTAACTTAAAATTGTGGCCAGGCCAGAGGACCCCGCAATGCATGCATACCCATAAGCATCCTTCCAGCCTGTCTCCATCCCACATACTCACTCCCTGGCATCCGAGACAGACTGGGCGTCACTCTCCAGCTCTTCCATGTGGCCCAGGAGTTGTTGGAGGAAATGCTCACTGGATGACTCCCCCTGCAAAGCCAGGTGCACGGCCAGGGCCTGCAGGATGGCGCCATTGTAACCCAGGGAGGAGGCGTGTGTCAGCTGGGCTGAGAGCCGGGCAAACTAGGGCAGAGGCAGCAGAGGCAGAAGACTTGCTGTCACAGAACCCAACCTGCAGAGAAGAGGGAGGGAGGGGAAAGCCCAGCAACCAGCCCACCTGGATTACCTTCTGCACGTCCTGGACACTGCTATAGGCCAGCGAGATGCCGGCCACCCGCATGGCACCCCCATTGCCATAGGAGCCTTTCCCATTAAACTGGGCCCGGGCAGGCTCAAAGACATCACGGCACTTGGGGCTCAGGAGCTTCTTGAAGACAGTGACTACTCCAGCACCGTAACCCCGATCAGGGTCTTTCTTGTACTCCTGAGCAAATCTAGGGGAGAGAACGGAGACAGGATTAGGGTTGAAAAGATGCCTGTCAGGGCTGGGAGAGAACGCTGGCTGCTGGCAAAAGAAGATGGCTTAGGGACCAAAGGAGCCTGTCCCAGCAGGGCTGTCACCTCTGGCTTGGGAAGCCACAGCGTTACTGTGTCCCGCTGAGGGTGGGGGTCCCAGCATGCACCGACATCATCACTCTGGCCAAGAAGCGCAGTTATTGGCCAAGAAGCGCAGTTATTCTGCCCACCTGCTTTGCCTCACCCCAGGCCCGTCCCCCTCACCTGTGAGCCATGTCCACCTCGTCGAAGGCCTCCTTGGCCAGCAGGGACTGCACCAGGGCCCTGGCCATGGCTGTGTCGTCTGTGTAGTACAATGCTTCTGCAGGGACAGGGTGGGAGTGGGGGTGAGATCACACTGCAGGGCTTGAAGGTGGTGGCTTTGGCCTCCTGCCCCCCTCCTTTATTTAAAAAAAAAAATTTTTTTTTTAATGTTTGTTTATTTTTGAGACAGAGAGAGACAGAGCGTGAGCATGGTAGAGGCAGAGAGAGAGGGAGACACAGAATCTGAAACAGGCTCCAGGCTCTGAGCTGTCAGCACAGAGCCTGATGTGGGGCTGGAACCCATGAACTGTGAGATCATGATGTGAGCTGAAGTCTGACACTTAACTGAGCCACCCAGGCGCCATTGTTTTTTTAAAGTAACCTCTACATCCAATGTGGGGCTGAAACTCATGACCCTAAGATCAAGAGTCACATGCTCTACTGATTGAGCCAGGCGCCCCTGACCTCCCACTTTTATTTGCCAGTTCTAGAATGCCTTAAGTCAGTCTCTCACTCCCAGCCAGTTTCCTGGGCTACAGGCCTTGGGATTTTTAGCAATTCTTTATTGTGAGTCAGTTATGACCTGCTGACTTCCGAAGGAAAATCTGTTCCCTTCTGCCTGCCCTGACTGTAGCTCTCCTGCACCACCACCCCCACCCTCCAACCCAGCCTATATGTGCAGCAGAAAATTCTTCCTAAAAGCAGACTATCACTTTCCTCAACTCACTCTCCTGCTCCTAACGGCTGTCTGTTGCTTTCAGGATCAGGCCAAATTCACTGCCCTGGCATCTGAAGCCCTTCGTTGTAGGCCCCTTCCCTCGTCTCTCTTACATCCCACTGCTCCCTGAAACTTGGAGCCTGGGTCGACCCTCTCTCCACCTGCCCCACTTCTCCTTCTTGGTGCCCGGGAGTACGGCTCTGGCACTTCTGACTCAGCAACACTGGTTATATGATGTCTCAAGTGGGCTGTGAGCCAGCAAGACTGGGACTTGGTTTTACTACAGGAGGAGAGGGCTACAGAGAAGGAAGCATTCTCCCTGTGAGCCCCCAGCCCCACTCCACTCTGTGTATTGCAAGCCCCCCCCCACCCCTTTCTCCCTTTCACTCTTAAGGAGGCTCCCATCCTGGCTTCACAAGGAAGAGGAGTCAACAGCCCTCTTAGCCACAGCCACACTCTTTTGTTACCCCTTGACCAAGTGAGTCCCTCTTCTAGTCCATCCAGCCCAGCCCCTCAGGGAACGTGTTCTTCCTCTTCTCTCCTGTCCCCTCAACCCCTCCCTGTGTGGTAGAGCAACACCCATTCTCCCTTTGTGTGGTTCCTGCGCCCAGCCTGTCCCCAGGGAGCCACTTCTCTACCATCTTCAGCCCATGTGGTTAGGGCATAAGGTTCACATCACCAACAGCCTCCTCAAATAGCACACCCTACTACTCCTTTGTTCAGGGATGGATAGATGGCCAAGCCAGGCCGAGGAGACGCAATCTGGGATTTCTGCTGGGGCTGCTGCAGACAGACTTCCTCTGCTGGAACTGCTGAGGTCACCCCACGGGGAGGGTCTGCCAGAGCGAGTGAAGCCAACCCAGAAGAATGTGGATCTGAATAAGGAGAGGAGCTGGGTCTTGAAGTGACTTGAGCCCCTGGATTTCAGCGCCGCATGAAACCAGACCTACCTCTGGACTTCTCAGTTATGTCACTCAATGAATTCTCTTTCTGCTTAGGTCGTCCTGAGTTTTCTGCTACTTGTATCCAAAAGGTCCTAAAACACCTGCTAACCTAAAATGTTGTCCCTTCATCTTAACATCAAACCAAAGATGAAATCAGAAACCATCTCTCCATCTTATCTTTGCCTCAACCATGGCTCCTGGCTCTCTCTCCCATCATACTAAACCATACCCTTTTTCCTCTTTCTACTTCCTCCTAAATCCATTGAAATCTAACTTCCAGGTTTCAACATTCTACTGAAAACGCTTTTTCTTTTTAACGTTTATTTTTTATTTTTCAGTGAAAGAGGGAAAGAGAACAAGCAGGGGTGGGGCAGAGAAAGAGGGAGACAGAATTCAAAGCAGGCTCCAGGATCTGAGCTGTCTGCACAGAGCCCCATGCGGGCCTCAAATCCACAAACCCCGAAATCAGATGCTTAACTGACTGATCCACCCAGGCTCCCCATCGACTGAAAATGCTTTTCGCAACCAGACTTGAACCTCTCTGTAGCATGACACCACTGACTAGTGTCCTCATTTTGAAAATCTCTTGGGTAGTGTCGATACCCATGCCCCCCTGCCTCATTTCCTATCAAACCATTTCGTTCTCTAGCTCCTTTTGCTCCTTCAGCGTTCTGAATATGGCCCCTTTTTCTTACTGTTCTACATGCTCTCCAAGAATCATCCTCCGCTTGACCTCAGACATGATGCTGGTCAGAAATCTGGATGAGGGAGGACCTGGCTGCACAAGGAGAGCAGTGGAGGGGAGACAGGCTTTATACATACAGCGCTGCAAAAGCCTGGGCTAGAGCGAGCTGGGGTGAGAGGAGACGAGTGCAGAAGGCCAAGGGTGGTAGAAAGTGAAACTGGAGAGTCGGGGGAGGGCCGGCCAGGTAGGTCACGTTAAAGAGTTTGTTTCTATTCTGAGGGTAAGGGAAAATCACTGCAGTGCTTCCTGCGGTGGAGGCCCCCGTAACATCTGTTTCCGAGAAGGGTTCTCCCTGATGTGTGGAGAATGTGATTCGGGAGAACTGGGTAGAAGGAGCAAAAACGGCAGCGGCGTATACACTGGAGCAGGCGCAATGCAGAAGAATGACACCGGGGTTTCAGGATTGCGCGGCTGATTGGATGGTGTTGCCAGGCCGCGAGCTGGGGCGAGACGTGCGAAGCCGGGGCTCGAATTCCGACGCGCTGAGTCCGAGCTGCCTGCGGCTCATCCAGACCCGGCCCCCGCAGCCCCGGGCGGCCTTACCTCCGATGCCAGTCCCTCCCGCCCCGAGGCCCCCGCGGACCCCCGGCCTCCGCGTCCTCACGTGCACCCGGCCCCGCCCACCTGTCCGCGCGCTCCCCGGCGAGCCCGGGTCCGGCTCCAGGCTCTGGACGTGACGCAGGACTGACGTCAGGGTGACGGTATCGTGCGCCTCGTAGAAGGAGCCCACGCAGTCCCCGAGCAGCGCGCCGGCTAGGCAGCCTCGGAAGCGAGAGAGGGAGCGGGCCGCCCCAGCGCCCGCGCAGCCCGCCGCCGTCATCGCCGCCGCCGCCACCGCCATCCGCGCGGAGCAGTCGCCACTTCCGGTGCGGCCGGCGCGCGCCCCAGAGCAACGCTTCCCGCCAGCCCCACAGTGCCGCCCAGCGGCCCGGAGCCTCGGCGTCTCTCCGCGCCCACAGCGCCGCCCAGCGGCCCGGAGACGCGGCTCCGGCGTCCGGCATCACTGGTTTGGGCCTGGCCTCCGCTTTTAGCTCCATAATCCCGTAAACGTCACAGACGGGCGGGACGGCCACTAAAGGGTCCCTGAGGGGAGGGCCCTGAGCCAGACCAGCGGACCACAACAGCCCTTGAGGCCACTGTCTCCACCCCTCACCTCCCCACCCCGCTCCCGTAGCCTGCTTTTAGGAAGCCTCGCTCTGGGCCCCAGCAATCCCAGCCCTCCCCAGGGCTGTCCCAGCTCTTGGCTCCATCAGGCCTGCCCCTCCACCTCACCCCCACCCCACCCCGGGCCTCTCCTGGGCATCAGGAGAGCAGGCAAGGGTCCAGCTGGAGCAAAGCTGGTGAGCGGTCACGCTGCTAGAGCCCAGGGGATGCTGGCCTAGTCCAGAGAGGACTTCCCTGAGGAGGGAGGAGGGAAGGAATCAGATTGAGAACA